ACTGCCTTGGCCAAAGTTAACGAGAGCCGCGGCCACTCGACCTCCCATGTATCTACCCGCTACTATCTATATCGTACAACGCAGGCAGGCTTCGAACGGCTGCTGGTAATTTATCTACTCCCAATCCCTCGTACGACGCTACCTACCACCCACGAAAAACGCACTTACAGCAGGAATCACCATTGTGCGGGGTAGGGGGTGAATGGTCAATTGGTCAATCGATCAGGTGATGTAAAAAAACTTTTTTTGGTTTTTATATCAATTGCGGATCAACAAATTAATCAACCAGTTAACGAGTGATTGATTTCTCGCCTCCCAATGACGAAAACGTCCCGGCAATCGAGGAGGTTCACGAACTGCTCCTGGATGCCCGATTAGTTCAGCTTGATAGAATGTCTGCCTACGGACCAGATGGTCGTAGGTTCGAATCCTGCATCGGGTAGGCTTTCAGCTCTGGCCGACATAGCGATACCCCTCGAAGCGATGACGACACCTGAGGGATTCGAACCCTCGCGGGCATAGCCCAACGGCTTAGCAGGCCGCCGCCTTAACCACTCGGCCAAAGTATCTCAAACGCATTATGGTAGCACCAGCTGCTCAACTCATTTGAGCTTTCTGACTGAAAAAGGCGTTATTCGCTATACTATTCAGAAACTGCCTTGGCCAAAGTTACGAGAGCCGCGGCCACTCGACCTCCCATGTATCTACCCGCTACTATCTATATCGTACAACGCAGGCAGGCTTCGAACGGCTGCTGGTAATTTATCTACTCCCCATCCCTCGTACGACGCTACCTACCACCCACGAAAAACGCACTTACAGCAGGAATCACCATTGTGCGGGGTAGGAGGTGAATGGTCAATTGGTTAATCGATCAGGTGATGTAAAAAAACTTTTTTTGGTTTTTATATCAATTGCGGATCAACAAATCAATCAACCAGTTAACGAGTGATTGATTTCTCGCCTCCCAATGACGAAAACGTCCCGGCAATCGAGGAGGTTCACGAACTGCCCCTGGATGCCCGATTAGTTCAGCTTGATAGAATGTCTGCCTACGGAGCAGATGGTCGTAGGTTCGAATCATGCATCGGGTAGGCTTTCAGCTCTGGCCGACATAGCGATACCCCTCGAAACGATGACGACACCTGAGGGATTCGAACCCTCGCGGGCATAGCCCAACGGCTTAGCAGGCCGCCGCCTTAACCACTCGGCCAAAGTGTCTCAAACACATCATGGTAGCACCAGCTGCTCAACTCATTGGAGCTTTCTGACTGAAAAAGGCGTTACTCGCTATACTATTCAGAAACTGCCTTGGCCAAAGTTAACGAGAGCCGCGGCCACTCGACCTCCCATGTATCTTCCCGCTACTATCTATATCGTACGACGCAGGCAGGCTTCGAACGGTTGCTGGTAATTTATCTACTCCCAATCCCTCGTACGACGCTACCTACCACCCACGAAAAACGCACTTACAGGAGGAATCAACATTGTGCGGGGTAGGAGGTGAATGGTCAATTGGTCAATCGATCAGGTGATGTAAAAAAACTTTTTTTGGTTTTTATATCAATTGCGGATCAACAAATCAATTAACCAGTCAACGAGTGATTGATTTCTCGCCTCCTAATGACGAAAACGTCCCGGCAATCGAGGGAGGCTCACGAACTGCTCCTGGATGGCCGATTAGTTCAGCTGGATAGAATGTCTGCCTACGGAGCAGATGGTCGTAGGTTCGAATCCTGCATCGGGTAGGCTTTCAGCTCTGGCCGACATTGCGATACCCCTCGAAACGATGACGACACCTGGGGGATTCGAACCCTCGCGGGCATAGCCCAACGGCTTAGCAGACCGCCGCCTTAACCACTCGGCCAAAGTGTCTCAAACACATCATGGTAGCACCAGCTGCTCAACTCATTGGAGCTTTCTGACTGAAAAAGGCGTTACTCGCTATACTATTCAGAAACTGCCTTGGCCAAAGTTAACGAGAGCCGCGGCCACTCGACCTCCCATGTATCTACCCGCTACTATCTATATCGTACAACGCAGACAGGCTTCGAACGGCTGCTGGTAATTTATCTACTCCCAATCCCTCGTACGACGCTACCTACCACCCACGAAAAAAACGCACTTACAGCAGGAATCAACATTGTGCGGGGTAGGAGGTGAATGGTCAATTGGTCAATCGATCAGGTGATGTAAAAAAAATTTTTTTGGTTTTTATATCAATTGCGGATGAATAAATCAATTAACCAGTCAACGAGTGATTGATTTCACGACTCCCAATGACGAAAACGTCCCGGCAATGGAGGAGGTTCACGAACTGCTCCTGGATGCCCGATTAGTTCAGCTGGATAGAATGTCTGCCTACGGAGCAGATGGTCGTAGGTTCGAATCCTGCATCGGGTAGGCTTTCAGCTTTACCCGACATAGCGATACCCTCGAAACGATGACGACACCTGAGGGATTCGAACCCTCGCGGGCAGAGTGTTTAAGGCTTAGCAGGCCGCCGCCTTAAAACACTCGGCCAAAGTGTCTCAAACACATTATGGTAGCACCAGCTGCTCAATTCATTGGAGCTTTCTGACTGAAAAAGGCGTTACTCGCTATACTATTCAGAAACTGCCTTGGCCAAAGTTAACGAGAGCCGCGGCCACTCGACCTCCCGTGAATCTACCCGCTACTATCTATATCGTACAACGCAGGCGGGCTTCGAACGGCTGCTGGTAATTTATCTACTCCCAATCCCTCGTACGGCGCTACCTACCACCCACGAAAAAAACGCACTTACAGCAGGGAATCAACATTGTGCGGGGTAGGAGGTGAATGGTCAATTGGTCAATCGATCAGGTGATGTAAAAACTTTTTGGTTTTTATATCAATTGCGGATCAACAAATCAATCAACCAGTTAACGAGTGATTGATTTCTCGCCTCTCAATGACGAAAACGTCCCGGCAATCGAGGAGGTTCACGAACTGCTCCTGGATGCCCGATTAGTTCAGCTGGATAGAATGTCTGCCTACGGAGCAGAAGATCGTAGGTTCGAATCCTGCATCGGGTAGGCTTTCAGCTCTGGCCGACATAGCGATACCCCTCGAAACGATGACGACACCTGAGGGATTCGAACCCTCGCTGGCATAGCCCAACGGCTTAGCAGGCCGCCGCCGCCTTAACCACTCGGCCAAAGTGTCTCCAAACACATTATGATAGCACCAGCTGCTCAACTCATTGGAGCTTTCTGACTGAAAAAGGCGTTACTCGCTATACTATTCAGAAACTGCCTTGGCCAAAGTTAACGAGAGCCGCGGCCACTCGACCTCCCATGTATCTACCCGCTACTATCTATATCGTACAACGCAGGCAGGCTTCGAACGGCTGCTGGTAATTTATCTACTCCCCATCCCTCGTACGACGCTACATACCACCCACGAAAAACGCACTTACAGCAGGAATCACCATTGTGCGGGGTAGGAGGTGAATGGTCAATTGGTCAATCGATCAGGTGATGTAAAAAAACTTTTTGGTTTTTATATCAATTGCGGATCAACAAATCAATCAACCAGTTAACGAGTGATTGATTTCTCGCCTCAATGACGAAAACGTCCCGGCAATCGAGGAGGTTCACGAACTGCTCCTGGATGCCCGATGGTTCAGCTTGATAGAATGTCTGCCTACGGAGCGAGATGGTCGTAGGTTCGAATCCTGCATCGGGTAGGCTTTCAGCTCTGGCCGACAATGCGATACCCCTCGAAACGATGACGACACCTGGGGATTCGAACCCTCGCGGGCATAGCCCAACGGCTTAGCAGGCCGCCGCCTTAACCACTCGGCCAAAGTGTCTCAAACACAATATGGTAGCACAAGTTGCTCAACTCATTTGGAGCTTTCTGACTGAAAAAGGCGTTACTCGCTATACTATTCAGAAACTGCCTTGGCCAAAGTTAACGAGAGCCGCGGCCACTCGACCTCCCATGTATCTACCCGCTACTATCTATATCGTACAACGCAGGCGGGCTTCGAACTGCTGCTGGTAATTTATCTACTCCCAATCCCTCGTACGACGCTACCTACCACCCACGAAAAACGCACTTACAGCAGGAATCAACATTATGCGGGGTAGGAAGTGAATGGTCAATTGGTCAATCGATCAGGTGATGTAAAAAAACTTTTTTGGTTTTTATATCAATTGCGGATCAACAAATCAATCAACCAGTTAACGAGTGATTGATTTCTCGACTCCCAATGACGAAAACGTCCCGGCAATCGAGGGAGGTTCACGAACTGCTCCTGGATGCCCGATTAGTTCAGCTGGATAGAATGTCTGCCTACGGAGCAGATGGTACGAGGACGACACCTGAGGGACTCGAACTCTCGCGGGCGTAGCCAAACGGCATAGCAGGCCGCCGCCTTAACCACTCTGCCAAAGTGTCACAAACACATTATGATAGCACCAGCTGCTCCAACTCATTGGAGCTTTCTGACTGAAAAAAATGCGTTACTCGCTATACTATTCAAAACTGCCTTGGCCAAAGTTCACGGGAGCCGCGGCCACTCGACCTCCATGTATCTACCGCTACTATCTATATCGTACAACGCAGGCGGGCTTCGAACGGCTGCTGGTAATTTATCTACTCCCCAATCCCTCGTACGACGCTACCTACCACCCACGAAAAAAACGCACTTGGCAGGAATCAACATTGTGCGGGGTAGGAGGTGAATGGTCAATTGGTCAATCGATCAGGTGATGTAAAAAAACTTTTTTTATTTTTATATCAATTGCGGATCAACAAATCAATCAACCAGTTAACGAGTGATTGATTTCTCGCCTCCCAATGACGAAAACGTCCCGGCAATCGAGGAGGTTCACGAACTGCTCCTGGATGCCCGATTAGTTCAGCTGGATAGAATGTCTGCCTACGGGAGCACGTTGGTCGTAGGTTCGAATCCTGCATCGGGTAGGCTTTCAGCTCTGGCCGACATAGCGATACCCCTCGAAACGATGACGCGACACCTGAGGGAGTTCAGAACCCTCGCGGGCGTAGCTCAACGGCAACGCAGGCCGCCGCCTTAACCCACTCGGCCAAAGTGTCTCAAACCACATCATGGTAGCACCAGCTGCTCAACTCGTGGAGCTTTTCTGACTGAGGCGTTACTCGCTATACTTTCAGAAACTGCCTTGGCCAAAAGTTCACGAGCCGCGGCCACTCGACCTCCCATGTATCTACCCGCTACTATCTATATCGTACAACGCAGGCGGGCTTCGAACGGCTGCTGGTAATTTATCTACTCTCAATCCCTCGTACGACGCTACCTACCACCCACGAAAAAGCACTCACAGCAGGAATCAACATTGTGCGGGGGAGGAGGTGAATAGTTGTAGGGGTCGTGAAAGTGAATCCGCGTCGGCCCTAGCCCCTTCGTGACACCGATCATTGCTGGCCTCACTACTCAGTGGAGTTTCTTGTTTTTCATGGGAGATTCGGCGCAACTTTCGATGCTGGTCTAATGACTCATGGCTCATCGGCCTCGATCCATTGAGCAATCGATCAGGTGATGTATAAAAAGTCATTATTTTTGGTTTTTATATCAAT